TTTTGGATATCAGATATTAAGATGCTTTTCACGCATCGTTCCTGCAGATTTCTACATTGACTGCGGCGGTTGTCTTTCTTTAATATGCCCAGGATGCTTTTATAAATTCTTACTTCTCTTCTTTCTGACTCCCTTTTGCGTTAAAAACCCTCAGCGAGGTTTGTTTCCCCGTATTTTTCATTCCTTCTTAGGAATTCAAGTCCCGCCTTTTTTCTCCTCTCCCTAAATTCATCTAAGGATGACGAACGCTACAATGTCTACTTCTCAGGAGGCTGCTAGCTCATCCTCCTCGTTTTTCTCTCGGGGTGAAGTGGCTAATTCGCCCCGTGTTGAAGAGTGCGTTTCGGGACCTTTTGCGATGACCTCCAATTTTAGGGTCGAGAGGCCTCCCCGAAGTCAGGGTGCCGTGAGCCCGTGACTCGGTATGTTAGCTCTATAACGAAAATCAAAAGAGTGAAAGTGGACTGTTGCTGGGGAGATTCCGTACTCATGGAGATCCCTGCTCGGGATGAAGATATTATGGCCCACAAAGTCGGCTTTCTGAGTGTGTATACCTATCCATTTTCCTTGGGGCCGGTAAGGCCGTCCTCGCCCCTAATTGACCCCGTGATTCTAGACTTCTGCCGGAGTTACCAGGTGACCCTAGGTCAAGTCCACCCTTCGTTCTGGCGCGTGGTTTATATGATCAGGCACTACACGAGCATGATAGATGGGATGCCCTTCACCCTAAACCATTTAATCCGGATGTGTAGCCCTCGCCTGCTTCGCGGAGGTTTAATCAAGCTTCGTTGTCGAGCTTCAAGGTCCCTTTTCGCCCCTACTGAGAATTGGATGACGCGTGTTTAAGCCGATTCATTCAAGTGAGGACATCTGATTTGATTCCAGCGGAAAAGATGCCATTCCCTGAGGAATGGAACGCTGGGCGTAAGTGGTTGTGGTGCCCCCGCCTCCCTTTTCTTTTCGTAACTTTTCTTCATGCGTCTGATTCTGCCTTTTTTGTTCTCTTAGCCGCGGCGATCTACCCCGGCGCGGTGCCGGACCTTCGGGGTTGAATCTGTTGTCTGCACTCAATTTGCCCGTATACCGACCAAGTGTGGCGGGATTTGTCCCAAGCCCGCCAAGAGGTCGGAGGCCCCGGTAAGTCTGGAGTTTTGATGCATTCGTGCAATCCGGCGTTAACGAGACATTAGTAGCTTTCACTTTTCCATGCTTCGACATCTGTATTTATGCAGGTCTGGAGGGAACTCTACCGGCGAAGGAGGCACCGTCTGTTGGAGGGGACGTCCAGATGCATGACGAGGAGGGGAAGAGGAAGGAAAGCTCGCCAGTTGGGCTGCCGAAACCCAAGAAGAGGAGAGTGGAGAGTTCCGATGTCGACCCTTTGGCTCCTGAACCGAGGCGACGGAAAATCCTCGCGTCGAAGGTGAGGGGGAAAGTAGTTTTTCGGCGCCCTTTGAAGCGTACATGAAGATGGTTGATCGCCAGGCCGTGGGAGTAGACCCTTCCGGACAAGGACCCGATGCTGACGCGGCTCGGGTTTGTGGTGGCGAAGCAATGGATGGGGTATCGAGCACTGACCTCGATGTATCAGGAGGCGAGGGTTCTCCTCGGACTGGGGGGCTTTTGATAGTTAGTTCGGAGGAGTCTCCGTCTAGACCCCGGGACGAACCGAAGGTGGAGGTTCAGGTTAACTCTGTTGGCTGGTTGGTCATTGCTGCTTCCCCAAAGGGGGATATTCTTCCTTTTTGCCGTATGCAAGAGGAACCTCGCGAGGAGATTTTTTTGGCGGGAGCGCTGACTAAAGGCGGAGCCGCAATCGAAAGGCAGCGATCGTTTTTAGGGCGGTTCCGAGGCAGACGTCCTGTCTATCTTCGGCGAAATGGGCAGGCTGTGTGAGCGGGTAATTTTACCTAGCACTGTTCGGTGCTTCGCCCTTTTCTCTTCTTTAACTCTTTTGTGTGGTTTCGGGCCAAGGCGTTTTATGATCAGGTCCTCTCCCAGTGTAAGGAAGAGGTGAGTCGTCGGGAGCGTGAGAAAGCTTTCTTCGCTGAACAGGTTGTCTATCCCTTGCTCTTGCCATCCTTCAATTTTTTGTAGAATCTCGTCGCTTTTAACTCTTTGGGCCCTGACACGTGCAGTTCGAGAAGGAGCATGCCTTGCTGAGAGGGGAGCTTCGGGCCAGGGATGCTAAAATCTCCGAGCTTAGCCGGCGTGTAAGCGCGGTGTCTTCTGAGAGGGATAACCTTAGGGAGAGAGTTACCTTGATCGAGCGCCAGCTTCAGGACGCAGGGGAGGATAGCGGCAAGTATAAGAGCCTTCATTCCGAGTGGGTGGCTGCACTGCTTCTGATTAGAACTGAGGCCGAGGCACTTGTATCTTCGCACGGGGGAGAAGCAATCATTGCAGGTTCTTGCATTGAGAGGGCGTCGAAGGAGGCTGGAACGACAATGCCTCGAACCATGGGTCGTGCTTGGCCAGTTTTCCGAGGGCTGCCTGTTGAGGGTGCGTTAGAAGGCAGCTCGAGCGGGATAAAAAATGGGGGTAGATCCCCGGAGAGGGGGGACGCCGTCGAGGAGGGGCCCTTTCGGGACCTGTAATTACCTGGATGTAACCTTTCGATGCCATCGGTCCAGGGGTAAATTAGGTCCTGCTATCCTTTTCCGTTGGTTTCCTTGTTTGTGGTACTTCTTTAATTCGGTATTTGTATAAGGAGAATTCTGCAGCTTCGTTTCCCCTTTTGCTTTGATTTTATCAATGATTTGGCGAACAAAAACCTCGGGCCTATAATATAGCCTTGTGGCCTTTTCGGGCTGGCTCGGACAAAAGGGCCTTTTACCTTTGGTCATTTTGTCATTTTGTTGCTTCGGGTCCAGTCTCCGAGTCGCGTTGCAGCTCGAGCTTATTTGACCCTTGAGTTTTTTCCTGCCCGCATGGGCGGATAATGGTAGTTTATGCCCTGGGTCGAGATGACCTTACAGGTGGGTGACCCGGAGGTTTTATTCGATCGGCGATAGCAGCACATATGTCGTGCCCTTAGGCATTTTGTAGTTTAACTTATTTCGGGTCCAGCCTCGGAGTCGCGTTGCGATTCGAGCCTTAATTGATCCTTAAGCTATCAGTTTTGGCTGGCGACAAGGGCTCTTATGCACTTTTGGTCGTAGAGACTTTTTGATATGTGGCCCGTAAGCCTGTTTAGTTAACTATTTTGGATCCGCTCTCCAAATCGGGTTACGATCCGAGCTCACTTTAATCCTAGAGTTGTCAATGTTTGCTGGCGACAATGGCTCTTATGCTTTTTTGGTCGTAGAGACCTTTTGATATATGGATTGTAGGCTTGCTTAGCTGGTGACAATGGCTCTTACGCTGTTTTTGCCCGTGGGCTTTTTGTAGGCTTTGTTTTTCCGCTCGTTAAGGTATTTTTGAGAGATTTTTGTCTGACCCGTCATCGGTTCCAGAGGAACCTCTATTTCAAGTCGTAATCGGCGATATTTCGAGCACCTCGGAAGGTTCATAGCCCGTTGTTTGCTTGTTGAGAGAAGCCTGTTTTAACCGGTTCTTTCCAAAATATATTCGAAGTAGTGGCCTGGGATTTTTGTTTAGCGACTAAGTCGCGTTATTTTGGTTGTATCAGCCGTTTTGACCATAGTCATTTTTCATCCCGAGTGATAGCTTAGGCGTATACATCGAGGGTATGCCCTTTCAGGATTCTTAAAAATGCGACGTATAGCCTAAACTTCGGGATTTTCACGCCTGTTGAGGTCTTACAGTTTGTCATGCCTGTTGAGGTCTTACAGTTTGTCATGCCTGTTGAGGTTTTACAGCTTTTTCGGCGACGTAGTATGGCGATTGCCGTCAGTCTCCGAGTCATCAAGTTGTTTAAGCAATCGCCATAAGACCGCTTCTTGTGAGCTCGGAGCTGCATTTTTTTGGGCTTTACGAGCCTGGAGTTCCGGTCCTGGAGTTGTGTGAGTGCCTTACCGCAGGCATTAAGTCTCCGAGTATTTCGGGATGCATTTGGTGGAGGTGGGCCTCCGTGTTGGGGATACACTTGAAATTTCTCCGTCCGGAGAATAAGGCATTGAAAAGATATTTTTTGATTGCCTGATGTAAGTACAGCCCAATTCAGTGTTTTGACCGGGGCCTAGTTCGTCTTATCCTCGGGGCGGAGTTGACCGTGAAAGAAGCCTTGTGGGTTCCTCGGATCCTTCTGGAGAAAAGCATGGATGTCGCCTCATTGAAAACCCTTGTTGGCAAGAAAACCCACTTGGGGAAAAGATTTAGAAGGAAAAGAGTACGACGTCCGTTCGACGATGTTTGTGGGGTTCCATATTCGGCCGCCCTAGCAGTAATATCGCTTAAGCATTGATACATTCCAGTTGCTTGAAAGTTGCTCGCCCTCCATGGTACCGAGCTTGTAGGAGCCTTTGCCCATTATTCCGAGGACACGGTAAGGTCCTTCCCAGTTTTGGCCCAGCTTCCCTTAATTAGGGTTTCTGGTGTTGAGGGTGACCTTCCTTTGGACCAGGTCTCCGGCTCCGAAGTATTGGCGATTCGTTCTCCTGTTGTAGTATCTTTCGATTTTCTATTTCTAGGCAGCCATCCGAACCAGCGAGGCTTCCCGTTTTTCGTCGAGCAGCTCGAGGGTCGTTGCCATGGCTTCATTATTTGATCCCTCGCTAGTGTTTTGGAATCTGGCGCTTGGTTCTCCGGCCTCCATCGATATCAGTGCCTCGGCACCGTATACTAGAGAGAAAGGTGTCTCGTCGGTGCTCGATTTCGGAGTTGTTCGTTACGCCCACAACACTTCGGGCAGGGTTTCCCTCCATTTCCCTTTGGCGCTTTCCAGCTTCTTCTTAAAATTTTGTATGATGGTCTTATTTGTAGATTCGGCTTGGCCGTTTGCACACTGGTGATATGGCGTCGACAGGATCCTTTTAAGTCCGTTGTCCTCAAGGAACTGCGTCCCTTGCTTCCGATGAATTGCCTCCCGTTGTCGCACGTTATTTCGGACGGGATTCTGAATCGGCATATGATGTGTTCCCACATAAAATTGATGATTTCCTTCTCTCTTATTTTCTCGAAGGCCTGCGCTTCCACCCACTTTGAGAAATAGTCGGTCATAAATAAGATGAATCTGGCCTTACCTGGCGCCGTTGGCAAAGGGCCGACAATGTCCATCCCCCATTTTATGAATGGCCAAGGTGACAAAATGGAATGCAGCTGTTCTCTGGGCCGATGAATCATGGGAGCGAACCTTTTACATTTGTCGCATTTTCGAACGAATTCCTTGGCGTCTTTCTCCATGCTATCCCAATAGTAGCCCGCCCGGATCACTTTTTGGACCAAGGAATCGGCCCTGGAATAATTTCCGCAGGTGCCCTCATTGATCTCTCGAAGTACGTATTCCGTGTTTCCCGGTCCCAAGCATATCGCTAGGGGACCATCGAAAGTTCTCCTGTAAAGGGCCCCGTTTTCGTCGGGTGAGAACCGGGCCGCTTTGGTTCGCAGGGCCCTTGACTCTTTTGGATCCGTGGGCAATTTTCCGTCTTTCAGATAAGCGATGTATTTGTTTCTCCAGTCCCATGTCAAACTGGCGGAGTTAATTTCCGCTTGGCCATCCTCGACCGCCGATTTGAACAGTTGGACGACGGGTCTGGGGAGCAGGTCTTCTTCTTCGGCGGAGGACCCCAAGTTTGCGAGGGCATCGGCCTCGCAATTTTGCTCTCGGGGTATGTGTACTAAATTCCATTCTTTGAAACGACGCAACGCGATTTGGATTTTGTCCAAATTCCTTTGCATCGTGTCCTCTCGGGCTTCGTAGCTTCCGTTCACTTGGCTCACCACGAGGAGCGAGTCGCATTTTGCCTCTACGATCTCGGCTCCCAAACCTTTGGCCAAATCTAGACCTGCAATCATAGCCTCATACCCTCTCATATTCGTGGCGCCATCCGTGAACAGGGTCCACACCCCGGAGGAAGTGCCTGATTTTAGTAAAAGCTCTTTCTCTACCTCGGGTATGAGGGCTGGCGAGAAGTCAGCCACGAAGTCCGCCAGGATTTGGGACTTAATGGCTGTCCGAGGTTGATATTCGATACCATACCCTCCGAGTTGGATAGCCCATTTGGCCAATCGTCCTGATAGCTCGGGCATATGCAGTATACTCCGGAGGGGATAGGTTGTCAGGACGCAGATACGATGGCACAGAAAATAAGGCTTCAGTTTGCGCGAGGCGCTTATTAATGCGAGCGCCAGCTTTTCAAGATGGGGGTACCACGTTTTGGCGTCCCCCAAGGTGCGGCTTACGTAATAAATAGGAAATTGCATACCTTGCTCTTCTCGAACCAATACTCCGCTTACCGCTATTTCGGATACTGCCAGGTACAAATATAGTGTTTCACCCTCCTCGGGTGTGCGCAGCAATGGCGGGCTAGACAGGTATCGTTTCAGTTCCTCCAGGGCATGCTGGCACTCTGAAGTCCACTCGAAGTTATTCTTCCTTTTAAGCAGGGCGAAGAAATGGTGGCTTTTGTCTGAAGATCTCGATATGAATCTGCTTAGGGCCGCGATCCGCCCCGTTAATCGTTGGACGGCTTTTACGCTATTTACCGCCGTAATCTCTTCGATGGCCTTTATTTTATCGGGATTAATTTTGATCCCCCTGTTTGAGACCATGAGGCCCAGGAATCTACCCGAGCCTATCCAAAGGCGCATTTCTCAGGATTGAGCTTCATGTTGTAGCTTCTGAGGATGTCAAAGGTTTCCTGCAAATGGATCAAATGGTCCTCTACGCGCAGGGATTTTACTAGCATATCATCAATATATACCTCCATTGATTTTCCTACCTAGTGCTCGAACATTTTGTTAACTAGCCGTTGATACGTCGCTCCTGCGTTTTTTAGCCCAAAGGGCATTACGTTATAATAATATGTTCCGTATTTTGTGATAAACGAAGTTTTTTCCCTATCTTCGGGTTCATCTGGATCTGATTATACCCCGAATAGGCATCGAGAAAAGTGAGGGTCTCGTGGCCGGCCGTAGCATCGATCAAGAGATCGATATTGGGCAGAGGGAAGGAATCTTTTAGGCACGCCTTGTTCAAATCTATGTAGTCTACGCACATTCTTAGCTTATTCCCCTTTTTTGGTACCACTACTATGTTAGCCAGCCATTCGGGATACTTCACCTCCCTAATGGATCCAATTTTTAGGAGTTTTGCCACTTCCTCTTTGACGAAGGCATGTTTCACCTCGGACTGCGGTCTCCTTTTTTGCTTCACGGGCATGAACTTGGGGTCAACGCTTAGTATGTGCGACGTTATCTCCAGTGGGATACCTGTCATATCTAAATGGGACCAAGAGAAGCAATCTATATTATTACTGAGGAATTGAATAAGTTCTATCCTGAGTTCTGGGGTCAACCCCGTACCAAAGTATACCTTGCGATCCAGGAGGTGTTTGATCAAAATGGTTTGTTCTAGCTCCTCGACCGTTGACTTGGTCGCATCGGATTCCTCGGCAGCGACAAAAGTCCGAGGTGCGAAGAAGTCCTCCTCCTCGTCTTCAAGGGTCTGCGCGTTTCCCTCCCCGTCCAAGGCCGGGTATGCGGGAATTGCCATTTCATGGTGTGCGAACATTTCCCTTCTGCTTGTTGTTCCCTATGTATGGTTGTGATACCGTCCCTGGTAGGAAACCTTATTACCTGGTGCAAGGTCGAGGGCATGGCCCTTATGTTGTGTATCCAAGGTCTGCCAAGTAGGGCGTTGTACTTCACATCTCCGTTAATGACCTGAAACTCTGTGTTCTGGGTCGTGCCGTACGTGTCGTCGGGATAATGATTTCTCTCTTTGTTTCTTATCCGACCATGTTGAAACCATGGAGGACCCGAGAGGTGGGAATGACTCGATTGAGCAATCCTAGTTGTCCTACTACTTCTGACCTGATTATGTTGACCGAGCTGCCTGGGTCCACGAGCACACGCTTTATTCTGGTGTCGAACCAGAGGGTCTGCTACCCGGGCGTAAGCTTGGTCGATTGGGACCTCGAGATCGACCTCGGGGTCGAGCTCGGGTAGTCGAGGATACTCGGGAGTGATCTAACAGCTAGAAATATAATCAAACGCAGCTACTTATAACCGAAATTGAATTTGTACGTTGAAGAACACATATAAAATGAAGAGCACGTATACAGGCAAAGGATATCGAGGTATCCTCAGTACCAGTGAGAACCAATAAGTATAAGTAAGAGAAGAAAGAGGGAGAGAGATATTATTGCACTTAGTAGAATTTGTGGGAGCAACAACAGTCCCTTACAAGGTAGGGCGAGTCCCCTTTATAGAGGAGGGGAAACTCAGAATACATGTATATTTAATTCATAAAATATGAGGATGTGATGGCTTGACATGATGCCTCAGCATAGGCTCTGGGTAGGCCGGGCCTGTCAGTCATAGCCATGTGCCTAGGGGGCTTCGCTCTGTCCTGGCTTTGTTCTTCATTCCCTCCAAGTCGGGCTTCGACGAGCCCCGAGGTCGAGAACTCGATCGCGTGTTCTGGGGGCCTTCCCCCCTTTGTCTTTATCTCGATCTCGAATCGGACCTTGACGAGCCACAGAGGAGAGGGCCAAGTCGTGGCTTCGTGTCCTCGAGGTCTCGAGGTACCTCCCCGAGATGGCTCGATGGCGGGAAATTGTGTCCTCTGATTTCACCACGAACAGGAACACACGGTCATAGGATCGAATGTTGCAGATAGCTCTAAGAAGAAGTAGCCCGACTAATCAACAAAGGGAACCTCCGAGAGTTCCTCAGCGATCGAGCCAAGAATAAATTGCGGGTAAGAGAAGCAAATAGGAAAAATGAAACAGATGAGCCACAACATGTCATCCACATGATTGTTGGAGGAATCGACATCCTGCAGAAACCCATTGTCAAGAGAACAGAAATATCCATCACCGGGGAGAAGCGAACTCGAGGTTACATACCCGAGGACGCTCTCATATTCAGCGACGAGGACATCAAGACCCTGTCTCAGCCTCATAACGACGCATTGGTAATTTCTTTTCTTGTAAATACATTTCAAATTTAGCGTGTGTTTGTGGATCCAAGTAGCTCGGCCAACATTATCAGGTCGGGGGTGCTGGAGCAGCTTGGACTGCTCGACCAGATCGTGCCCGCCTCTCGCGCCCTCAACGGATTCAACATGGCGAGCGAGACAACGAAAGGGGAAATCACCCTCCCGGTCAACGTGGCCGGCACGACCCAAAATGTCAAATTTCATGTCATCGAAGGAGACAGGATGTACAACGCCTTTCTCAGAAGGCCATGGATACACTGCATGAGAGCAGTGCCATCAACCCTTCATCAAATGATGAAGTTTCCAACGAAGGACGGAATAAAAACTGTGTACGGGGAACAGCATGTAGTAAGGGAGACGTTCGTGGTGCACGATGTGGCACCAGCATCGATGCCTCCATCATCGAAGGAACCAAAGGATAAGCAAATAGTGAAGTAGCAATCACAAGCTACATTCTCGGCTGCACCCGAATAAATGAGCAAAGGACCGTACCGCGTCCCCCGAGCAAGCGTTTGAAGCATATCGAGGCTTGAAGCGCCATATCCACTAAGGTATAACCATCTCCTTTTTTATTTGCATCTTACACTAACCTATGTGCAGTTTCGGTTAGAATGATCGAAGCACTTTCCAGGTTGAAGGCCTTAGGTTTTAAAGCATGCGTCAGATTTTATCCCAAGAAGGGTTTTACCGGCAAGGTTTTTAACGAGGCAACATCTATATGCTACCTAAGAAGAACTTAACAAGTATTCAAGGCTTCTCTTCAATAAACCTCGAATACTGGGGGTCATCCCCCCGGAGATCACCTCCTCGGAAAAGCCAAGATGAGCCAAAAAGGGTCTCAATAGGAAAATGATGTATCGGGCCAAATGGTCGAATGAACCGTGTCCGCTTAGAATAATTGAACCCTTGACGACGAAAACATGTACACTTGTGCCAAGTAATCAAGGAATATTTTTTCCGCCAAAATGCTTTGCGCTTCAAAGAAGTTTGCTATTTTTACAAGAAACGGCTCCAGGTCTAGAAATTCCCCGAACACTCGGGGACTGACATCAAAAACTCGAAGCGGTAAGACCTCTAGGTCGGAAACTTCGAACTCATAAGCCCTCAATGAGGCAACATCAAGTTTACAAATAGCGGCTCCAGGGCCAAAAACATTTGATATCTCGCGGACCGTCGCTGACTATCACCCCATCGAGTTGTCAAAAACTCGAGGTTGTAAGACCCTATGTGGGCAATATCGAGCTCATAAGACCTCCATGAGGCAGTACCAAATCTGTAAGACCTCAAGCAAGGCATGAGTTATTGTGCCAAGTAACCTATCTGTAATACCTCAAGTAAGGCATGTTCAAACTTATAAGACCTTACAAAAGGCATAATCCCGATCTTAAAGTTAAGGCTATGTATTCGAACTTGTAAGACCCCTAAAAAGGCATACCCTCAATATAAACGCTGAAGCTACTTCACTCGGGGACTAAAAGGCTATGTCCAAACATAATGATTATGATCATAAGGCTCCGGCCAAACTAACGCAACTCGGGGACACCCGATCGTCGCCATAAAATCACAGGCCTTCAAATTACTTCGAAAATACTTCGAAAAAGAACCGGTTAATCAAGCTAGCCTCGGCATAACGAAAAGAGCTTCGATCATATCAGCTTCAAACAACAGGCGTCGAAATAATTCATCCATCGAGCAAAACCTCTCGAGGTGCTCATTCATCGCTGCATAATGGCTCACAATCGAGGTACTTATCGAATCATCGAAGAGTTGGGCGAAAACAAAAACTTCAAAAAGTCTTTAACGAGGGAAAAATAAAGCCTACATTAGAGGTCGTACCGACCCAATGCGTAAGAGCCTAAGAGCCAGCCTATATTAGAGGTCGTACCGACCCAACGCGTAAAAGCTTAAGCGCCAGCCTATATTAGAGGCCGTACCGACCCAAAGCATAAGAGCCTAAGCGCCAGCCTATGTTAGAGGTCGTACCGACCCAATGCATAAGAGCCTAAGAGCCAGCTTAAAATTCAAAAATCTAAAGGTCGATGAGCTCAAGTCGAAACCCGACACGAAGACTGAGCCCGAAATGGTTAACTAAAAAGCGCCTAAGGGCAAATGCGTAAGAGCCTACGGGCCAGCCCAATAAGCCCTAGGGCTGATTTGTAAACCAGAGGGTTTTTCCTCAAAGTTCAATTTATCTGGCTAATCATTGACAAGCGTCCAAATTCAAAACAAAGAAGGACATACACCTGCAAAGAGAAATTCATGAAAGATAAAACCGAAAGGCTTCCTTTTATAAGTATATGTGAAATAACATAAGGCTTCATTTACAAAGTTCTCTAAGAACACTGTACGCAGAATCAAAATGAAAAAGCCTAGTCTACTTTCCCCTCGGGGACTGCGGCTCCATCGACTCTTCCTCATTATCTTCGGCATCGGATACGAGAAACTTGGTGTCGTATTCATCCGCCTTGGCCTGTGCTATATCTTCCAAGAGATCGAAGCCCCTAGTATGGATCTCCTCGAGGGTTTCCCTCCAGGATCTGCACCGAGCATATTCATTACTTATGCTCTCCCGATCAGAAGCCCCTCTCAACTCAGCCCGAGCATCGGCAGCGTCTTTTAAATAGACGGCCACTTTCTTGTCAGCCTTAGCTCAGATTTCTTCAGCTTCAGCCCGGGCGTCCACGACCTCGGCCTTCATCTTCAAAAGGTCAGACTCGAGCCTTGTAATTGTCACGACCCAAACCGAAAGGCCACGACGGGCACCCGGTGCCTTACTCAACCGAGTACCGATGTAACATATCTTTCTTATCATACTATCATGGGTAAATGAGCTAGAAAACCCTTCATGAGATAACAAGAATAAAACATAAGGGAATACTCAACATATGATGACCCAACATGATATACAAACTTATACATGTGACATACAGGCCTATAAGGCCGACATGACCATTTGTAAACTCAAAACATAGGACGACAAGGCCATACAAGTATCCATACACCTTACATCTGTCTACAAGCCTCTAAGAGTACATAAAATCATAAAGGTCAGGACAGGGCCCTGCCATACCAATCAATACATATCCAAAGCATACTGACCAAATAGGAAACTCCGGAGCAAGTGGAGTACACAAACACCTTTGCTGAGCTGATAGCCTACTAGGAGGAATGTCAACCTGTCTATCGGGACCTGCGGGCATGAAACGCAGCGTCCCCAGGCAAAAGGGACGTCAGTACGAATAAAGTACCGAGTATGTAAGGCAGGAAAGCATAAAACAGAACAGTAATGTAAAGAGAGATAGAGGAGATACAGCCTGTAACATCTGAGTGCCTCTGGGGGCTACTGACAAGAAATTCATAATACATATATATACATGAACTTTTAAAAACATACGCCTCTGTGGGCATCATCATCGTCATATCGTACCTACCCTCAAAGAGGACTCGGTAAAAATGTACCCGGCCATCATAAGGCTTGGTAGAATCATACCCGGCCACGTGGAGCTCGGTAATCCCAACTGATCAGTGGTTGCACAATATGTGTCGTACCC